CTTGTGAATCAAATTTTCACAAATAGCTACACCGTTTTGGCTACATTCTTTAAATTGCTTCAAACAATTGTAGGATTTAAACTTACGCAATTCGGCTAGCAAAAATATGGAGTGTTCCATAAAGTGTAGCAAAGCAATATGTTGGGCCCATGTAGGTAGGGTGTTTGGGCTTTAGCTATATCTCCAGGTGATGCTTGAATTTCAGTGGTGATTTGGCTGGCGATTGTGGCTGGGTCCGTAGGCACGAGTTGTCCACTTTTAGGAACTCTGCTCCATCTGACTTGTGCTTGTGGGTCCATTGGTTAGCTGTTGTGCAACAGCAAGATAGCCTACTGCAAGCAGAACTCGAAAAATGATTTAGTTCAGTCACGTCGCGCATTTTCATTCCTGACAATCACTTGATCTGTGGCTAGCGCTGTTGAAAGCACGAGGACTGCTTTTCGTGAAGAAAACAAAGGGGATATCTGGTTTATTTCCTTGCGGATGCATTTTACGAATTACAGTCGCAAAATTACCGGGACGGAAAAGTAGTATAATAATGAACTCGTCTTTTTATCCAGTGCACCGCTCCCTCCACTTGGTTTTTTGGCGATATTCAGTTCGAGTTTGTCTATTTCTTACTACTGGAAAACTACGAATGAGCTGTAGGCAACAAAACCCCATCAGCTTCACAGTGGAAGGCATACTGATTTATTTAATGATTAGGTAATGCTGTAATTTACTGGTAGCTCTCAAACACTGAGAACCATATTTCCTCACGTGTTCTGTCTAGTCTCTGAAGATTTTCCTGAACCCAGATCGGAGTTTCTTTTATTGACAACATACCTGTGACGTTTACCTAGATCTTACTGCAAAGAATTTTCGTTTGTTACTCGGTTGAGAAAGGTTTTCTAGATTGGCTCTTCAACCTGACTAAACTGTTCTACGGTGTATTGAAACAGTGAACCGTGTCGAACTCCGACTTTTAATTAGCGTCTAGATCAAACTCCCAATTTTTTTGGTTTTAGATACATCATGGATATTTTGAAGGTATACAGCGGTATATTTGCACCTTAAGAAACGCGGGTCACATTTCATGAAGAAAGTAAACCCAAAATGTTTGAACTGAAACGGTCACGGAACCTTATTCATGAAATAAAGAATATCAAAAGGTGTTCTTCTGGACAGAATTAACAGAGTAAAGCCGTATAGTACGTCGTTTGATGCATCCTCTGTAGGAGGCAATTAAGTACGATGTTTTTGACGTTTGTATCAACAGTAGTTTAGTTGTCATTCCTTCGTTCAATGCTCAGCGTCAGCACCAAAAAGCATTTGCATCGTTTTCCGCTTAGCACATAATGTGAAAGAATACTGTCTCAGAAAGATTTTTGTTGCCAGTGACAAAAGTTTATCAGTTGTGTTTATTATCCACCTCTCCTTCAGTTGACGTAGGGTTCCGGAAGCAACCGGTTTTACATCAGAATCCGTACAGTCCTAGTGACATCCCCGGGTAATTTTTTCGGTATTGTCTCCCAAACGATTTTCACTCAATACATTGTATCGAATACATGAATATGCCATAGACAAAAGACCAACATGTAGACTCTCTGTTGAACCACACCATTGGTGTAGAATGCACCTGTTGCTTCCTTTATACGGCTGTAAAAAGGCTCATTGCCTCCGCAGTCAACAATCTGAAGTTTATTTGTACTGGTCAAATAAAAGAAAATATGAGGCCTTCCACATCAGTACGGTCGCATATGAACAGTAGAGCTATCTTCCGATCTGAGACCATCCTATTAGTTTACTTTTGTAACCACTTTAGGCTTGGCGCTCGATGTGAGTTCATAACTATAGTTGAGCTGGTCATTTACTAGCCTTGAGACAGCATTAATTCTGAGATCTTTTCACGACTAGGAACTGGGGTTCGATTCTGACAACACACTGGTGTCAGTGTTTGAAACGAGATGTTCAGATACACGTTATGTGAACAAAAAACGAGCCTGGGGGCGAACTTTCCATAAGCATTTCAAGACCTATCAAATCTCTCTTTCCAGACACATTTTTAAGTGTTTCAGCTTAATGTCACTGATATCATAGACTAGCTTTGTTGACATTGCTCACATCGGGCGGCGAATTTTATTGCTAAATGAAGTGAATTTGCTCTTTTCTGGCAACGTGCGGTCACAGTGGATACTCGTTCAGTATACGGCCCAAGAGTCTACCCCAGTTGTACTCGAATTTTCTGCACCATTAATTGTCGTTTATGAGGTCGGTCTATTTGATTTCGTCTGCTACCTTCTGTCGCAAACTTTCACATGAACTATTGTGTTTCTGACAGGGGCACAGAAGAATCGGATAAGTTCCGAGTTCTCTACTTATTCCCGTATCTCAGCCACCGTTTTATCCTTCTAAACTCCTCTATTCAGTTAGAGGATGTTTCCTCTCTTCCAAATCAACGTAGTCGGGGATCTGGAACCTGTTGTCCTTCAAAAGCTTGGCAATGTATCACGCTAACTAAACAGTTTTTAGGTAAATATCCTGATCCCTGTCATCCACATTAATACCGGTTTAGCGCATAGTTTCTATACCACTTGCGACCAGAGTTAAAGAGGGACTCCCGCCAAAAATATCATCGTTATCACTTTCAGGGGTTTATTACGTCCTAACTGACTGTTTCAAGTTGTGCTTCCTTGGACAAGCGAGCCCCGTAAATTCAGGTACCTGGTGGAAAACTTATGTACCTCTGCCAGAAGAGGTCAAGTTAAACGGTAACTCAAAGACAAAAGTACTCTTGTAGAGACGCCATGCACAATTCGAATCAGATAATTATTGAACTACAAAACAGACTATATGTGAGCACCCGACCTGTCGATGGAGCTCCTTCGATCGATGCACCATCTAGCGCCAACATGCTCCCGCAGTCCCGGAAGTCGGTGTTAACAGTAGGCGGAAACATTCATCACTTGGCGGGGCACGGTCCGTTCCAGGGGAATTTTCCCCTGTCTTATTGGATATACAGGGAGAGCCCTACGTCTCACTGACAAATTCAAAGATAATTTAGGTGTCTGGGATGGTCGCTGCATATAATACGGATCACAGTGGGGATCGATCGGAATGAATAACCGAGTATTAGTCTCTTATTGCACTGCCAGGTGTCTAGTAGAAGCATTTGCCCGTACTTCCACTGAACAACGACGCTCTTTCCACACTATAGTTCTGATAATCAAGCCTCATATAACAGTTAGTATGTTTATGTGTCACTAATCGGATTTTGAGGTTCAAGTCATCGACTGAGCATTTCCTGTCCGTAGTTGACTATTATATTATTGTGCTGACCACGTCACTGTTTCAGTCGACACTTTGTCCTGTAAGTACAACAAGCCACTCTGTTCTGAGAAGTACTGTACCGCCGTTTCGTCCTCGCCTGGAATTATCAGCAATACGCATCGGTGAAGTTACAAATCCACGACCTCTCGGCTAGTAGTTCAACCCTGAGTAGCTGATCAACAGTGTGACGAAGTTGCACCTTTCATAGTTGCGGATATTCACAATTTATTGGCTCAACTGCTGACCTCTTTCAAGTTGAGTGCGAATATATGAGGTTTGTCAGGGTTGTTAAGGAACCCTAAAATATTGGCGATCGAATTTGTCACGAATATCATTCATATTGTAGACGCATACACTAAATCAGGATTATGTGCAGCCATCTGGAGAGCAGTATTTAGTATAAACCTCTGAGTATTTGGTTCATCTGGGGTCAGAGTTGTAACTTTTTTGTATAAAGGCTGTCCTACACTTACAATCAATAGAAGCTGAGCTGAACCCAGGGAGGACTGTCCTTTCAAAAAGCACCACTATCATGACATGACGCAAAAGTTACTATATCATCGATGAACAAAGGTGGATGGATTTGTTTTTCAGGACTTTTGTTATCCTAAGCTAAAAAAACGCTTTGTAAATGATTGGTCATGTTTTGATTTAATAGTTATAGATCTCGCCTAATATAGGTTGGTTTCTTTCCTTCGGTCGTCACGGCGTGTATTCGCCCTTCTAGTTACATCGCATCTCCTCTATGTATTTACAAGTTCAGTAGAAGTTTGTGAGATTCGAAACGGCAATCCCTTGCGTGGTAGTTAGAGTGCGAATTTACTAACCGGAAGGTCCGTTGTTCGAACCCGACCTCTGCCTCACAACTTCCCCTGTCTAGGCTTGGGCAGCGTGACAATATCCCAGCCCTCGTGCTTTCTTTAGATAGCATGGCAGCTAGACACCGAAAGGGTGTTACAGCTGAACGATTTATTAAATGTATTAGGGCTTCCATGATTAACTGATCCCTTGAGGGTCAGAAGTCAAGCAACCCATTATACTCGACGTAAGTTCATGTAGGGACCTTCAGGACAAAGAGAGAGGCTTAGTTCAAATGGAAACAAACCCGCTTACCAAGATCTAGATACTTACTATGTTGATTCAACTAAATAGCCGGAGAGTTCATTGGTTTCGAGCGAAAATTCGGTTTCAAGAGTGTGGATGGTAGTCTGGTCTACCCTCAGTTATCGTTTTTTTTTCATTTCAAACATTCCTATAGACCAAGGTTCGACTGCTTTGCCTCCGTGCGGCTTATTCTAAGTCAAATTTAGGTTAGACGTAGCAGATCAAGCACCCAGAAGCAATGCATCATGCTTCTATTGGGTGCATGACTCAGTAGTCACCATCATCGAAAATAATGCTGCAGTAGTAAAAACTGATGTCTACTCACCACACAGACATGGGGACACAATTTTCCAATAAGGTGTGAAAAGGGAAAGTGTGGGACTTCGGTGCGAAAAGCAGTGTGTACTTATGGAGAGCGATCAAGGACAACGTGTCTACAATTCAACTGGGCATCATATCAGACACCATCGGCCCTTTTGATCAAGCGCCTTTTGCGAACCTTATCTAACATGTAACGACACACTTTCCCCCAGTTACCCACTTCTGCGTTCTGATTCTCATCTGCTCCCTCTCTCTTTCTCTGACAGGGTCTTTCTGGCAAGCTCATTGAACGTTTTCACGATCCAACCTCAGCGGAACCACAGAACACGGCTGTCAGCATTAGCGGAGCAGCTATCCCGTTCGATATGACAGGAACACCATCATTTCCGGGTAGTCTCACAGTCAACTTGGTGAACGCGGTTCAATCCCCAGGGAAGATTCAAACCATCACGTCATCCATCCAATCCCCCAACAAAACGAATGTCAGCACATTGATGTCGAGCAGTCCCTCTTTAAATGGATCACCGCCCAGTGTTGCCAGTCACTCGGCCGCAGAAGCACAAGATAACTCCGCAGACGATATTTCACAAAAAACACAACCGTTCAGTTCAATCAGTCCTTGCGAAACCGGTGCTTTCACCTCGGCCTCTTCAGTCTGTACCGTTAGTGGCTCTCGAAGAAGGAAAGCCACGACACCCGTAAGTCCCAAACTCAGCAAGTTTACGTGCAGTTAGGTCACCATGATGGGTGTTCCTCGACCATGCTAACTTCAAATTTCACGACCTATGTCAATTCTTTCCGTACAGCTTGGAGCGTTGCGATTCAAGCCAATTTTAAGCCAGTGTAATAAATGAGTACTACTAGTTAACGTATCCTGCAAACGAGATCTAATGAAGCCTGATTTATGAGCCTTTCACCGACGCACATGTGCATTTTGAAACGAACCCAGACTGGAACAGTTATTTCGAGTGCGCTCATTCTAATCTTTTGAGACTGGCCTAATTGCTAAGCGTTCGTGGACCTTCTTTGTACGGGCGTCTGGATCTGGTGGTTCACACGTGTGTACGGACGGTGCAGTAGGCTGCCCATTAGTGATTTATCATCACCACATTGGATGCCTACAAATCGTCTTTGTTCTGCGTCTCCACTAAGGCCAGGTCAAACCATGCTCCCCCTCACCTCTCAAGATTCTCCATGTTCAGTCTCGTTCCTCATTCTCAGACTCACAGACCACAGTCTGCCCACCTTTTGTGATGGAGGGGCGGGATGTGTGCTGGCACATGAGGGTGGAAGTACGAGCTGATCTGACAATCATGTCATTTGTGCCATTTACCAAAGCTGTCCGTTCCGTGTGCTGAGAAAGTCTACCTTGATTTGTGGGCGCTCGTTCTCCACTGCACTCGTCGGTGCGTTTGTATGTGTGCGTCCGAAAGCACCCGCTGGGATGTCAGATCGACCCAGTGGGTGAAGAATCCAGACGTGAGGCAACAACAACTGCAGAGCTCGTCAGTTGCTTTGTGCATGATGCATCGGTCTTCCGTGTACAAAGCCACGGTGACGCAGCCTGTATTTGCTCTAGCTCAGTTCTACGCAACTGTTCGCCGAGCTATCGGTGTATTAGGCCATACTAATCAGTAGATAATCTAATACTCCATGCTTGTTCTCTGAATTCCAGCCATCTACTAACATGCCACACGATCGTTTATATTTGACCCACTTGTGCGATGTCATTTGGGGTGAATCCTGTTCAGCGCTACCGCATCGGGCCATTTGATCCTTAGATCAAACTGAGCTGATTTTAACGCCCTATCTGCATATGACTCTACTCACTGTGAGCAACAAGAATGAGAACAATTACTGCTTTTTTTTTAGCAAAAACTGGATTAGCTCTGAATGCTAGATTCCATAGTATAACAAACCTATGCCTTATTTTGTTTGTAAGCAGCGGGGTATATATATATATATATATATAGTTGTTGACTGCTGAGTTGTCCCTGCGGTCATCGATCGGCCGATGATCATACTCGACAGTGCTGTTTGCTGCTCCTATGTCCTGTGCGCACATTTTGGCTCGAGTTCTTTTGTCGAATGTTGCTCTTTGGTGTATGTATGTGTGCGGCACGCCGCAATCTTCGATGTTGTTAGATCATTAGCATATCTAACACCTGGCAACCCATGGCCTACTCACTTCTCACACATTGATCAGCGAGCTAAAATTCCGTGCTCACTCTCGACTTCCAATCAAGCCACGAGCTAATCTGACTTCACTCGTACACGCAGGTTGGTGTCCCACAGGTCCCTGACGTCGTCCTTCTTACTCGGACAGCATTCATAGCAATCGGCCATGCTTCTCACTTCCAGATTATGGCACATTCAAATTTCTAAGCTTGAGTCACCACACCTATCGCGGACCCGATTCGAATGGGATTCACTCGTGAACACGATGGACCATGAGGCGGAGTTTTCCGTCCGCCTGCACGCTCATTTGCACAAGGGGGGGTATAATAAGATGTCAGAGTTGTCTAAACATCCGGTTTGAGTCGCTTCTTCGTCTAATCAAGCTCGACAAACTGTTTACACATTCTGCGTGCTTGTGTGTGTGCGTGCGTGTGTGAGCGCACAGCATCAACCATGCTCATGCAGAGAGCACCAGACTGGACCGATTGAAGGTGTTTGTGCTGTGGCGGCATGGAGACACACACACACAAAAGTGAAAACTCTGTCGTCACTTCATCGTTTTTTGGTTATTCAAGTGCTGGGGCACACTTTGGGTTTGCTTAGTTTGGCGCACTTGCACATCGATTGAGTTCCGTGATACATATATGGCATTCGGTTTGTGTTTGTATATCACCGTGGGCATAGAGACAGATATCGGTCTTGTTGCTGCTCACCACACGTTGACCAAGCCAAAAGCACATGGACGAAACAAGCAACCCCATGGGGCTGGTCTAATTAAGAACACTGCGCAAAATAGTATCGTTTCCTCCACTGGATGATGAATCTAGGCGTTGTTGAAGCATGAATCTGAACCCTGTCTGAAAAGCGAGTTACGATTCGCTGCTGACTGATAGTGCACCATTCTAAACGCACTCTGCACCCGATTAAATCTGTCACGCTTGACCCAGTTGACAAGCCAGAAGCAGAACCAGTACATAGCCACAAACAAACGGTTTCTCACTACATACCCCATGAAGCTGACTCCAGATGCTTGCAGATGCCGCGACATATCATGAAGGGACATATCAGCTTATCAGCCAGCCCCTTAATTTGTGAAGTCCATACCTGTGTATGGGCTTAGATGCTGCCAGGACTATTAAGACTTTCATCCAAACTACTCCATTCACGGCAAAACAGATGTGGTCGATGTGACATTACTGGTGGAACTCAAATTTTAAGGAGCAAATCGTCACGTATGTTCCAACCCAACCTTGTGAGGGACTGGCCTCCATCCCTTGACCACTCTGGTAGGCAATCCTCAATGGATGCTGAATGGGCGTCCTCCAGTACAGCTCAATAGGTTACTGAGGTACGCACACGGTCGCACCGCGATATGCTCGAGTCTCTTCGCGACAGAACTTTATGGTGGTTGAGCACAAGGGCATATTGATGGTGCACTGCTGTCAGTAATGATGATAATGATAACCATGTCGACCAACCCCAAGTCAATGACTTTATATGGTTGTGTACTTGAGCAACCTTCTTGTACTGTAATAAAGTCAGAATATTCATCAGCCATTAAGCAGACTTGGAACAAAGCGAAAATGTGTTTTTATCTGTCTTTAGACTGCTGGCGAAGCACCTGAAATCGTTCCAGACCACCTTACAAAATTGGTCCCCAGAACTACCGGTTTTTTCCAGAGTTACATCGGATATCCTAGCTTCTTTGGATTACTGCGCCAAGAACAGCCGAAATTCTGATTGTTTTTTGGAGCCTGGAAGAATCACCTTTTTTCTGGGACGAGAAATAAGAAGACAAACTGACGGAGGCCTTTATTGTATGGTGATGACTCATCTGTTGCTTGATTACCTTGACCAGTCAATCGCTTCACGGAAACCGTTCTCCAATTGGCGTAGGTCGGAGGTACTCGGAAATACGAAAACAGTGCCCGACTTCCAATCTGGGTCCAGCCCACCCTCAGTACCGCTTACAAGCCCAAAAGCTCTGTGCCTAGTTGAACGAGTTTAGTTGCTCGGTTGTTTCCAGTTGGGAAACAAAAATTTACCAGATATCCCCCCATTCCAATTCGACATGGGTCTACGTGATAAGGTAGCATTAAATAAAAACCGTATTAGGCTCGATATCAAGATCAGTGGAGCACTAGACAAAAATCACGTCTTTGTTCTCCTGTTTTCCCAAACCATTCTGCTCAATAGATCTGGAGTTGGGATCACTTCGGCACACCACTCTAGATCATCGAATGGATGTGGTGGAAGTCACTATGTATTCACCAGTTGTTTTGCCTGTTTGGTATCCAATCCCTGAATTTTCGAGAAGCACCAGTCTATTAATGTCTAAACGTGGAAAAAATTTTTAATATTAATTTTTGGATTGTTGTACAGGAGATTAGCTTCACCAGTGATTGCAAGCAATAAGTGTGTGGGAACTAGCCCGGTTTGATAACGGTATTAGCGTAGTTTGCATTCCAAAGAGGGGACAACCGATTTCTCTAGTAGAAAATCTAAACGTGGCGACAGGTAACTAAGGTTATCAAGCTTGATTCGTTTTGGATATTCAACACCTCTCCGTACGCAAACGGGTATCGGTACTTGCGAATCTACAATGCGTAAACGGAGCAATGGGTGCTCAAAACAATCCTGAATAGGATATTTAATACATTTGGTTGGTGCGTTTCCCAACGTCTTGGGCATACAGTTCCCCAGTCCTTTCAAGTCGTGAACATCACTCCTACTTTTCTGTGCGTGGGACTGGATTGGAGACATGACTAACGGGCAGTAGTATGAGTGCGTCGCAGCGTGAACTGCGGTGGTCCCGGAATCCCCACTCTGGTCACTTGAGTTTCTCAGTTCTGAGCCTACTGATAGTAGTGGTAAGATGTTCATAGTAAGTCCAATGTTGCGCTTTCACATTCCTTGGTTTGGCCTTTCCTCTGTCACTTGAGTTTACTTTACAAAATTGTGTTGTATATGTACAGAGCGGTTTGGACAAGAGTTGTTTATAGATTTGTGTACCCATTAGGTCCATAAAGTTTTCACACACACACACAGTCCTCTCACAGAGTACGCTGAGACGATAATTTTCCGGAAGGCCTCGGTCGAACCAGCTAACATGTAGACAACTCGTGAACCATTTGATCCGTTGGCCTAGAGTTTGTTTGTTTCTACCAACATCGTCGAACGCGATGAACGGACGTATTGGGGTTGACACAAGCGAGCATAACGCGCACACACATACACAGGCTCGTTGAAAAACCATGAAGAGGGTTAGGTGACTCGCCTCAAGGTGACTGGCACTGTTGGTGATACTGCTCGAAATAACACTGCCTCTGTGTGCAGGTACTCGTGGTCAGGCGTGGCGAGTTGGACGGAATGTTGTTTCGTTGCTGACTGTTGCTGCGTTCGCACCCTAAACGGCCACAGCAGCTCACCAAACTGGTCTTTGACCCGTTCCAGTGAAATCTCGCGGCCAAACCTAAGACGAGTTCGATAACACACTTGTGCTTGTTCGCTCGCCGCCCACCCGCCAGTTTGAGCGGCCCCGTTCATAGGTACCATTGACCATTGATCTCTTTATTCGTGTGTCCGAATCGAAACGCCGCTTATACTGTATCTGCGTATGTGTGTATTCATAAGCAGTGTTGGTGATTTGACTGTGGTCGTGTGTTGTTGATAGATCCGATTGGATTTTATTGTGCTTTGTGTTACAGTCACGCTGGTGGACCAACTCTCGTTTTCCACAACTGAGAGCTTACTGCTACTCGCTGTACACAAAACGGCGAATACGTCAGCGTCATCAAAATGTCTTGACGATCGGTAACAGCGAGAGTACAACCTTCACATACACCATGTGCGTAGATGTTTGCATTATCATACACATGCGTTTATATTTGCACATAATGTATCAGTCAAACCATACGAACATACAGACAAACACTGTACCAATTAAACATCCTTACTCGTACTGTCCTCATCCGAACAGAATAGATAAACAATGACCGATTGAGGCGTTGAATGTCTGTCAGTTCGCTCTGGCGTCACTACTTTGTGATTACAGTCAAGCGATCGGTCGATTGAAACCTTCGTTTCTCAAATCTCTCGTACAAAGAATGCACTAGAAAGTTCATTCTTTGGCAGACACATATCTACCATTCCTAAATCATAACAAGCCATTTCAATTTCAAATTACTCTGTACTCAGACACCAATACGTGATCAGCAGTCTAACTGTGGCCAAATTTGTGGGAAACAAACTATCAGCTCATATGTGAACTACCGATCGATTTGAATTCAAATGTTTTCAAATTGTTTAATTGGAGTCAACGCTGCTGAGACTATATCAGCCAGTCTCGAATGGGTCATGCATTGCCTTAGGCAGTGGCGGGCTGTAGTCTATTGAGTATTATACTCGCCAATCTTACTGAGTAAGCTGCTTGGCACGGACAGCTAAAATTACCCTAATCTGGATCGAACAACGAGACTGCTCAACTCAAATTTGGCAATTATTAGCGGTTGATGCTACTATTCGTGTTATCGCTGCGGTTGCATTTAGCTTGCTTCCGGTCTTTTCTGGTTCGTGATCATGTTTGACAGAATTTGGGGACAGATGAGACTAAATTGTTCGACTTATAATGAGTTGAGCATTTGCTCTAGGCACATCAACATCTCTTCCTCCCCTGGTCTTAAAACAGCAAGCATGTGCTCACCAAACGCATACATGTGAGCTTCTCTAGTCTCTGCTGAAGACTCAACGGACGGTGGGCAAAACGGAAGCAATTATCAAACCAAATTCCATTCGGTTATAGTTTTCGGAGAGCCGGCAAATCGTCAGTTGGTTTTCGACCAATTATCGATCTTACCTATCTTCATTCTCAGGATACAATGGACCGGTTTCGAATATCCTATTTAACAGCTACCGCTTCGTGGAATTTTGCAGAATTGCTAATAATCCACAGTGAGTTGTGTACATTCGGGGCTCTCAGATGAATACTTACGAGGATTTTAAAAAAAGCAACCAAGATGAAGTAACTCTGTGTTGAATGACTGTTGTGATAGGTCTTGATGCGACACGTCAGTACTCTGCTTGCTACTGTTACGGAAGACAACTCAAAGTCCTTTATGTCTCCGCATGATGCAGAATGTTGATGTTTCTGTCAAATTATCTCTGGTTGCGTTGCCTTTACACTAGTCTAGGTGACAGGATGTTACCGACATCAAGAAGAAGTGCTGCTGCTGGTGATTCATGTATGAAGTCGGTAAGATAATGGAAATTTAGGATTGTTCACCTACATCTGTAACCAAACACTGGGATATCACAGGAAATTTTTGTGAATTTGTATATGCATGAGAAAAGGCATGCTTTGCTTATTCGCACCCACGAACATTTGTCTACAACACCCCAACTTCGGGGCAGCGGCAAAATATGTGTCACATAACCATAACGTGGTCAGACTTAGCCGCTTTTTGTGAATGCGAGACGGGTAGATCTATCCAATGCCCAACAGTGCAGCTAGGTAACCATGGACGCAACTTCTTTCCCGCTGAAGAAACAGTCCTATCATCTGTACGGCAAAATAGGATTGTATTGCAACTGTTCATCGTTTCGGTACTGGAGCAGCGTATCGTGTTTGACTGTAATAACTTAGCTCCTATTCAAGGACACCTAGTCAGTCGGTCAGGCTTACATTATGCACTTCGACATCGCACTTGTATGTATTCGTGTGAGGCGCCCGATTGAGGCATGTGTTGCCACCTATCGGCACTTTCTCCTGCACCTAATATATTGCGTGTGTATGTGTGCGCTACGTCCGCAACCGTGTCATCCACACAGCTTCGCTGAGCAGTCGGTCAACTGCTCACAAACGAAAGTTTGGATCGTTCATTCACTACGGCTGGTGTGGATGTGTGCATGTGTGACAGTGAGTGAGAACAACTGTTTTGGTTACCGCATCGACGCGTTGTTACCTTGATCACCAGCTCTCGTGGAGTACCTGCCTGCTTGTTGCCTCGATGCTTATGTGCCAATAACAGTGTACGTATTGTTTATGCTCACATGATTCGTCACGAGCTCGCGCGTCGTATAACTGCCTCCCAGCTGTGCCATGGGCTTGTATCGTTCGTCGGCTTTGTGTGTGTGTGTGTGTGTGTGTGTGTGTGTGTGGCCACGCTCCACCTCAACACGTGGCCAGACAAGCTAACGTGTAGCGGTAGACAGTCGAACGCTTTCGTCTTTTGGCAACTCAGCATGAGCAACTTGTTCCGTTGTGTCAAAATCCTATTGCGTATGTGTGTACAAACGACAAAGCAACAAATATCGGTTTATACGAGGCAGCTGACTTTTGTGTTTCGTTGTCTGAACTGTGACTGCTTTCACATTGTTGTGTTATCGCACTTGTTCACTTTCTGCTGTCTTATCCAGGTGACCCAACGTGCCCTAGAGTGAAGGGACTATGGTGTCATAATCGTTGTGAAAATTAATTGGTCGAATAAGCCCCCCTGAGGTGCTTCTGATGGATATTCACACTTTCTCGCGGAGACTTCAGTTGCGAATCGAAAATGGTTTGACTGGTGGTTTAAGAAGCAAGCATCTCTGTTGCTGATACTAATTTGTTTGCTACTACTTGGCCCATTAAATTCCTCGCACAGCCTGAGATCTAGGTAAACGTTTGAAACATGTCTGACCACTTTGTCATGTCCGCTGCTACTGGATTATTTGTCATTTATGCCGACATACTGATACCTTTTGTGATGTTTCAAGCGTTGGTGGTTGCAGGATGTGCCTTCCGAGAGCTCATTCATATACGGGTGAG